CAAACGCAGGAGCCTCGCGAGGTCGCCCTCCAGCTGCTTCTCAATCCGCCGAACATGAGCGTGATGCTGTTGGGCGGCCTGATGTGCCGAGACTGGCTGCTTCGCACGCTCCTCAGTAGCCGCCAGCGACTTCGCAAAGGACGAATACTTGGCGGCACCTGCCTTGTCTCCAGCCTTCTGACACAGCCGAGCCAACTCCGACGCCTCATCCTTGGACAGATTGGGCACGGCCCCCACTGGCAGCGGCGCCAGCTGTCCAGCTCCCGCCACGGCGGGACCAGGCTGAGGTGCGCCACTTGCCCATGTACCTGCCCAACCGCCATGTACTCCTCTGCCCTTGCCGCCGCCACCCAAGCCCCCCTTGCCTCCAATGCCGCCGCCAGCGAAGCCTCCGCCTTTGCCCCCCATGAGTGGGCCGAGATGGAAGAAAGAGCCTGGGGGCGAGGCAGGACGTGCCCATGACCCTTGAGCAGCAGGTGGATGACCGACAGCGAGGCGAGGCAGAAGAGTGCTGCAATGGTAACAATGAGTGTCATCTGGAGCATTCTTCTTGCAACCACAGCCTGGGCAAGCAGCTCCCTGGCCTTGCTTCTTCTTTCCCTTCCAACCTCCTTGGACAACTGTCCACTCATCTGGGCGCACCCACGGCGCATACGAGAAAGATGCGGGCGCAAAAACCATCGAAGGACGAAGTGGGGAGGAAAAGAGAAGTTCCGCACACGAGACGTATTAGTGAATGTGATCCTGGCGGGCGAACGCCAGGGAAAGCAGTCGGGGGCCGCGAATCCCCCCCGCCACAACCTCAAAGTCCTTGAGCAACGCCTCCGGACCTTGAGCCAAAATGGCTACGGAGCCCTCCTCCTCCTCCTCATGATCATCATCATCCTCATCATCAGCATCATCATCCTCCTCCGCATCCTGATCCTCATAATCATGCAGATGAGGATGAGGAGAAATGCGATGGGGACGATGATGAGGATGACGGGCCCTGGGGGGGGGTGCTGGGGGGGCTGAGCATATATATATATATATATATACAAGACTGCATTGGCGCTTCGCGCCATGCCCCTTGGTCCTTCAACCCTTGCGCGCGTTGGCGTCTAGCGCGGCCCTCCACGGTCTTTGAACCGCGGCCGGTTCGCGCCCAGTTCCCGGACCTGCACCTTACTTGCTCGCGCCCTCGCTCTGCTGGTCCGCGCGCCACTGGGACTCCATGAGAATGTCCCAGCGGACCGATCAGCGGCGATGAGAGCGGCAGTGGAGGCTCCCAGAGCTCTCCGCAGCGCGTGCAGGAGAAGAGGTCTTGCTTCGGACGGCCGTCAGTGGCGCACGCCTTGCACGTCCGAGTGGATCGGTGCAGCTGGCAAGGGCTGAAGTGAGTTCGATCGTGCATGTCCCCGCAACGAGTGCATTGATAGTCTTTGTGTTGGGGGGCTGACCGTGACTGTGTTTCCCGTCGACTGGCACACGACTTGCAAGCCCGATTGGACTGCTGAAGTTGTGTTGTGGAGAATGATTCTGCAGGCAGGGTCTCGCCACAATCGGAGCAAGCGAATACAGACATCGAGGATGTGCCGTATGCGACAGCTTAAAAATGTAAGCCAACGGCTACGGATGCATGTGTGCGAACACGTGTGGAAAACAATGTTTCCTTAATGACTTGGAAGGGCCCTCGTGAAACCTCCATGGAACGATTACTCTGGGATGCGATAGGGCATAGGGCAGCAAGCATGCAAGCAACGTGCCGGATTCTGGAAATGCTAAGGACATCTACCGAATTCCGGGGAAATGTGCCGAATCTCGGGTTCGCAGCCGATTTCCCGGGAATTTGGTTGCGAACCCGGGATTTCAAGCATTTTGGTGTTTTGCGTGGGATGCCACTGTCTGGCAAACAACGGAGCAGCGCAGCGAAGCCGTTCCGGAGGTGGCGGTCAAGTGGGGCGATTCAGCAGTTTTGAAGCCTCTTGGGGGGCCGTTTTGGCTGCCTTTTGGAGAGCCATTTTGGGGCCTCGTGGGTTCTTTTTGGGAGTCCTCGGGGCCTTTGGAAGCCTCTTGGGGCCTCTTGGGGCCCTCCTGGGGCCTCCTGGGGCCCACTTGGGGCGGAAAGTTAGATGTTTGTACTTTTGATCGCCCTGTGGGGGCTCGTTTGAAGCTTTCTCGGGGCCCTCTTGGGCCTTCTTGGGCGCCTCTTGGGCTGTTTCGGGGCGCTCCAGAGCCGTCTTGGGGCCGTGTTGGGGCCGTTTTGGGGGCCCCCCGGGCCATCTTGGGGCGCTCTTGAGGGCCTCTAGTTCTGTCTTGGAGCGTCGGAAAGCTAAAATGGCGAGAAAGCAGAAAACATCGAAAAACACATTGGAAAATTGACCATTTCGGCCTCCCGGGGCCGTCTTGGGAGGCTTCTTTGGGGCCGCTTGGGGCGTCTTGGGGGCTCCTGAGGCTGTCTTGGGGCTATCTTTGGCGTCTTGGAGCGCTTTGTGCCTGTCTTGGAGCGCTCTTGAGGCACTCGGGACCGCTTCAATGGGCGTCCGGAGGGTCCCAAAGCCCCAGGATCCCAGGAGTCCGGTTTGGGGGGGGGGGGTGCAGGGTTTTGCGGCCGCCCGGGCTTGTAAAAATATAGAAAGAGGAATATATACACACACATACACGATACGAGACTGCAGTGGCGCTTCGCGCCAATGCAGTCTTGTTCAGGACGCTTCCCCATCAAGGCAATAACTCATCGCTTGAATTCAGCACCGCTCCTCATGGGGGGAGGGGGGCAAAGTTCCGTCTGGCGTTTCATCTGCCACCTCCAAGGTTTATCCCTACCCATCCCTTCATCCTCCTTTCCTCCTCTTCCGCCTCCTCTGGTGGTTGAGTCCATCGTTTGAGGGCGTAAGGAGCGTTGCCATGACACGCCGAAAAAGTCGCAGTAGCTCCGAACAAATCGATTTTTGGTCGCTTCCCGAATGCCTGGAGAGCTCCAGGCACTCAGAAAATTGTCGATCGTCGAACTTCGAATCTAGATCCATTGCCTGTCTCTCTCGATCGAGGAATTTAAACCTCGAGCCTCAAGCGTGGAACCAAGATCGTCGGGTCAGCTCGGTGTACTTCGTAGGAGAACGCCGTCTGGGCGTTTTGGGGCTCTGTTGGGCCGTCCTGGGGCCCTCTTGGCCGTCCTGGGGCCTTCTTGGGCCGTCTTGGGGAGCTGAGGCCCTCCAGAGATCTTCTGAAGCCATCTAGGGCCCTCTTGGGGGCCTCCAATGGCCTTCTCGGGGGTCTCCCATGGCTTTCGTGAGTCTCTCTTGGGAGCCTTCTGGGGGCATCTTGGGCTTCTTGTGGGCAAGCTCGGGGCCCTCTCGGGCAGTCTTGGGGCCTCTTGGGCAGTCTTCAAACCCTCTGGGGGGCCTCTTGGGCCGTCTTGGGGCGATGTCGGGGGCCCATCGGGCAGTCTCGAACGCTGCGAAGACCCAACAATCGGAAACGCTAAAAATATACATTTTCCTTTGGGAATGGGACGATGTTGGCTTCTTCGTGGCTCTTTGAACGGCCTCTTGGGGCGTCTTGGGGGCCTCTTGGGCCGTCTTCAGACCATCAAGGTTCCTCTTGGAGCGCTCTTGTGCTGTCTTGGGTTTCTCTTGCGCCTCTCCGATGGCCCCTCTGATCGCCTTGAGTCTACTCGCAAGGCCAGGCAAGGCGCCCTAGGAAGCTTGGAAGGGCCAGCGGACCTTTTCAAAGGGCATCCGGGGCGTTCCTGGGGGGGTCCAACTGAGGGGGGGTCCGGGTAATAAAAATATAAGCATCGATACATATATATATATATATATATACATACATACATATATACATATACATATACATATATACAAGACTGCAATGATGCTTCGCGCCATGCACCTTGGTCCTTGAAGTTTGGTATGCAGGCGGCGTAGCAGAAAGGTCAAGCCGACAATTTAGAGACAACTCCTTGTTGCCTTTTCCAGCATCGCCGCTATAATCATGTTATTCGTTATCCTTCCTCCATGCTCATTTTTCCTTATTTTCGCCGTACCCTGCGCATTCTCCCCCTCCTCAGCTCTTTTTTGCGGAGGCTCCTCCTTGGAAAGCCTCTGGGGGCCTCACAAAAGTTGTTTCAGGCTTTCTGAAGGCCTTCTGGAGGCATCCCGGGCGTATTCTGGGGGCCTCTGGGGACTCCCTCGGGCCACCCTGCCTCCAACCGCGGTCTCCCTGAACGACCTGGTCACGATTTGGAATGCTTCGGAGGGCGTCTTGGGGCCATCTTGGGCCGCCATGGGGCTCTCTAAGGGCCATCTTGGACCCGTGTTGTGCCGTTTTGGGGCTCTCTTGGACTGCCTGGAAGCCGTTTCGGATGGTTGTGGGGCGATGTTGGAGCCTCCCAGGCGGCTTCGGACGCCCAGAAGACCGCCGTCTTGGAGCGTCGGGAAGCCGAAAAGAGGACAACCCCAAAAGTCAGCAAAAACCAACAGAAAATCAAAGATTTGTGGCTTGTGGGCCTTCTGGGGAGTGCTCTTAGAGGCCTCTTTGGGGCCGTCTGGAGGCCTTGGGCCATCTTGAGGTCACGTCGGTCACTCTTGGAGCGCTCTTGTGCTGTCTTGGGGGCCTCTGGGACGTCTCCGATGACCCCCCTGATCGCCCTAGGTGTGCTGGGAAGGCTTGGCAAAACGCCCTGCGAGGCCCGGGGGGCCGCTTCGAGGCCCGTCTGGAGGGTCCCAAAGCCGAAGATCCCGGGAGTCCGGCTTTGGGGCGAGGGGGGGGGGGACGGGGGGACGGGTTTTCCCCCCGCCCGGGCTTATAAAAATATAGGAAGAGGAATATACAACATGTGTACAGTGACATGCATGCACATGTGCATCGTATGTCTACACATGGGCCTGATGCACAGGGACAGCTGAAACTGCTTACATACCTCGAAGCTTGACAAACAGAAGACGATATAGAGAGAGGGAATATGGGAGGCAGGGAGGGAGTAGGGAGATAAGCAAAGAGAAGTGCAAAACCAACACCTTCGCCATCAGAAGAAGAAGCCCAGAATCTTGCCACCGGTGTGCTTCCGGCGGGCCTCCTCTTGGTCCATGATCCTCTGGGCGAGCGGCAAAGCTGGCAGATATCATGTGTGGTTGAAAGGGATATGAGTGGCACGTCCAGAAGCGACACGGCAATGCTTCCACCACGCATGATGAGTAGAGTCCTCCTCTTACCCGCTGCCTACTTGGAATCCGAGGACGACCATAGACCCTCGCCTTCTCTGCCCATCTGCCCAGCGATACCATGACCAATTCATACCCGAGACCAGTGTTCGTTCATCCGCTCGATCTGGAGGCCAATTTATTGACAGAGTGAGGGGCCAAACGGTCTTACACATTCCCTGGGTGCATGACTGAAGTGGGGTTCCGCAATGCGGATTCTTGTTGCATCGTTGAGTTGTCGTCGTCCTGCCAGCGACCCACCCCGCAACCCGCACGCGACCCACCCGCGACCCGCCCGCGACCCATTCGCGACCAAACCGCGACCCACCCGCGACCCAGACGCATTGCTTTGCCTGCGGCGGGCTCATTGTGTAATGTGTCGAAAAATCGGCGCCTGCTACGGGCTTCACCAAATTTGCTCTCGAGCCTTGCCCCCTCCCTCTTGTCCGCAAGTGCAAGAACTTGGCAGCGGTTGTGCCCCAAAGCGGGGATGGATTTGCTGCGTCGAGCATGTGCCTTCTGCTACCTGCCTCCCGAGCGGCGAAAGCGAGGTACTGCGACCAAACGCCCGCGCCACCGCCTTCTCCAGCTGGCTGCGGCGCACCATGTGAGACGAGTGGGATGGTTTTCTACACAGCCGCGACAAAACTTATAACAAAACTGCAAGACGATCTCATTCATCTGTTTGCCACGAGCGACGCCCACAAGAGGAACATTAAGTGGAATAATCCGCCTTCCAACGTTTGCAACGTGCAGGACTGGTGGCCAGGGCCAGGTATCCCAAGTATTCCTTAATGGTCCACGCACAACATTGGGAGGAGGATGCAACTTACTAACCGGGTGATGTTCCAGCTTGATCCCTCATTGTGATGTGGTCACATGCGGTTCGACATTCGGCCGTGTGGTGCCGTTCCTTCGAGACGCCCGCCATGAATTGTGCACGGACTTCATGATGGTATCTCTTATCTTTGACAGGCATCGAACGATTAGCGCGACAGCATCCATCTCATTTGATCCACGTGAAGTGTGGCCTCTTTGTCCACATGCCGATGTAGTTATAAACTTTTGTCGCGGCTGTGCAAAGAGCTGATTGGAAACCCTGGCCCCTCCAGAGGATCGGGGAGACGCGCTAACCCAGATCGGCCAGAGCCACGTCGCGAACCCCGGCTCGCCGAGTAGCACATAGCTCCCAAACCAGGGTCAGCGGAGGGAGGGAGGAAAGAGGAAGGGGTCAACTCCACGTGGCTGCCAGGCCCAGGTCAGCCAGAGGGCATCAGAGAGCACTGGCTGACCGCCGCTGCGTGCGCCTCTCGAGGAGGAGGAGGAGGAGGAGGAGGGGGAGGAGGAGGAGGAGCAGGGAGAGGGGGAGGATTTGTTTTCCAGCGCAAGGCCTTCCACCTTTGAAAACAAAAGAAACCGCAACGAGGGCCTACGGCTTCTCTGGCCATTACCTTAGGTTCAATGAAACCAGGGACCCGCTTGGACCACAACCCCAAGGAGTTTCGGGTGAACACCACGGGCCAACTGCTTCCAAGCGAATTTGGCTCCCGAGTTTGTGGGGGAGCCTGTACAAACACGCGCCAGCTTGCGCACCATGCCATGGCCAGAGTATGCCTTGCAACGCAGGCAGACCACGAGCGAAGCACCATCCGAACAATCGAGATTAATTACACGGTGCTGGAGCCTGGCCAGGGCTTCGGGGTCAAGCTTATGGAGCCCCCAACACTGACCACGCAACGGAATGCAAACGGAGCGGGAGACCTTACAGCAACCCTCGCAACGCCAGAACCTCGAGAGGTGGATCCAGCGGTGCGGGACGATGTCGGGGCGGGGCGCCAACGGCGGCCTCACACGGTCGACTCCCTCTCCTAGCCGCAGAGGCGGCCAAAGAGGCAGCAACTTCGCTGCCAGAACACCAACAACGCGAGACACAGCGACCTTCTGATCCACTTCCTCCATCATCAGAAGATCAGGCTGGGGGTAAGAGCGGGCCGCAACTTTAGCTGAAGCGTCGGCCAAGTTGTTGCCTAGCCTCTTAAACTTGTCATCTGCATCCGTGGACGCGTCCACGTCCAAGTGAGCTTGCACCTTCTACATGTTGATATATGGGAGGTTCTGTCTAATGAATTGGGCACAGCAGCCAGCATACAGTCTCTTGAGAGACACTTCGCACATTCGCAGACATTGAAATAATCACTGAAAATGGTGGAGCGACCAATTAGATGGTGAGCAGCGGCCGTGAGAGCATGAAACTCTGCGCTCTGAGGGGTTTGGGGGTAGGGAGGCCAGACGGGACCCCTGATGCGGATGACCCCCCCCGTGCGTTTTACGATCCGGCAGAGTCGCAGCCCAGCCCGCCCGCGACAACTCAGGGATGGCGCGGTTGAAACAGTACCCGTCAACGAAGAGTTCCCCCGAGAACGAGGTTTCGAAGTCCAGGTGCTCGAAGCCTGGGCATAATTCAGCAACTAAACCAATTGATAGGCCGAAGAAATGTTTCACCAAGATGCTCGAAAACTCCGAAGGAAGCAAGAACATCATCCGCTTTCTCAGCCCATTCGCGCACCTCGGCAGGGATGATGGAGGACCGAGCCTCCTCGCATGCAGAACATATCCACGATATGTGCCTAGGTGCGTCGTCAGCTTCTCCGCTTAGATCACAGGTGGTCGAGATCTGGAGCACGGGATCGGGTGTAAATCGCGCGGCAGAACAACGATCGAATACAACCTTTCTCGAACGGGGCCACCTTCCTACTTCGAAGCCAAGACAGGACGCCGCCCCCATAGGCACGGCCAACATTGAGTCTAGCCCCCAGGTCCCACCCGAAACAGCTAAAGGCACGGCCAGACCAAAGGAGTGGCAACCACAAGGGGGCCCTGAAAAGACACGAGGGACTTCAGGATCCCCATGCAGAATCCTGCTGACACGAGCGCGCAGGGCCTCAAGGTGGGCCCGAAACGAGGAGGGTTTGGCCGAGAACGGTGCGTCAAGCTCCCCGAAACTCCGAGCGTTCACCCCTTCGTCAGGCTTCACCTTGGCCCAACATTGAACCAGAAAGATATCGTCGGGCTCATCAAACGCCTGGACAACAAAATCTCGACTCGAAAAGACGGGGGCCTGTCTTTCAGGATGGGCGCCAAAACTTGAATGAACGAAGCAACTGGACACGACCGCGGGGAAGCCCAAACCTGAACCAGAGAGAGGGGGCTCGAGGGCGGCCCGAGGAGAGGGCCTAAGAGAAACGTTCAGGTCTGGGCCCCGTTGGGACCCCCAGCCCAGATGAGCAACATTGGGTGCGTTGTTATGCTTTAGCGGGAGCCCCCCACCCGCTGGGCTGCAAGACGGCTGCAGCAGCAGCGGGGGCGGCGTTTGTAAAATCCTTGCAGCGCGAGCTCCAGGGGCCTGCGCCTTAGTAGCAGACGAAATCGACCCAGCAGGCGCGGACCCAGAACCCGTCCCTGGCGTAGGCGGCTGCGCCGCAGCTGCGGCGGCCTTGTCGCCAGATGGCGGGGCCGCCGCGGGCGCAGCTGCCCCCGCCGACGCCTGACGCGCCGGGGGGGCAGCAGCAGCAGCCGTGGCGGCCTGTACTCCAGGAGGATCATCAGCAGGTCGTTCATTTCGTTGGACACAGCGGCGCTTGCCCGCCATGCGCTTGACCTCCTGGGCGTGCATCTCCTGGAATTGCTTGAACTGGTCCGCCATGCCGCCAAAGAGGTCCTTCATTGACTTCTGTGACGCTTCCTTGAGCTTGAAAACCCTGCTGTCGATCTCGTCTCTGTCCTGCTGCGTGATCTCGTAATACTCAGAGGTGGGGTCGACCAGGGAATCGATACTGATGGGCATAACTTGGAAATCGCACTCCAGTATTTCTTCGATATCGATCCGAGTGGGCTTCTTGCAGACCGAGGCGTTGAGCTTAGCGACGAGGTCCTGATGCTTAGACTCGGCCAGAGCCAGTGCTTCAGAACACTCACGTACTTTATCTTGTTGGGCAACCATCTCCTCAGCCAACCGATCGTAGTTCGGGCAAGCCTTGTCGCAACGGTCCCTGCAGTTCCAAAGCTCCTGGAAAGCTTTTTTGACCTGCTGGCTGAGGGAGATCTCCACTTCCTTCGACTTCTTGAGCGCAGCCAGGGACTGCTTCTGCTTGAGGGCCCTTTGTTCGTCGCCGCACTTCTCGAGTAGGGTGATGAGCTGCTCCAAGTCCGCGATGGTAGGCTGCGCCTGCGAGGATGGCCCAGGCTGCTGGGCCATGAACTGAGGTCCAGCACGGAGAGGGAGCTGTTGACCAGCTGGCGGGTGACCTCCTTGACCTCCCCAGACACCTCCCGCAGCAGGAGGTGGATGAGCGTCGAGTTGCGGTCTCTGGGTCTTGCACTGCTTGCAGAACCACTAGCTCGCCTTGTTCTTCTTGCAGCCACATGAGGTGCAGCGCCTAAGGGGGCCGCGCTGGTATTGGTGCCAGTGGCACTGCTGCGGCCACCCCGCGTCTCCTTGGCCAGAGGTCCAGCCAGCCCACCCCGCGCCGCCAGCAGCACCAGCGGGAGAAGCAGGAGGAGGCGGAACCATGGCGCTTCCGTAGTTCTGAAAATACATTGCTTTCACCGCCAAGGCAGACGGCGCTCAAGCGAGCACAAAAATTGGTCCAGCACAAGGTGAGACTGACCAGGCAAACGACCTGAGCCAGAATGCGCTTGAAAGGGGGAGGGGTAGGAGGAGGAGGTGGACGAGGAGGAGGAGGAGGAGGAGGTGGAGGAGGAGGTGGAGGAGGAGGAGGAGGAGGAGGTGGAGGAGGAGGAGGAGAAGGTGGAGAAGGTGGAGGAGGAGGAGGAGGAGAAGGTGGAGAAGGAGGAGGAGGAGGAGGAGGAGGAGGAGGACGTGGAGGTGGAGGAGGAGGAGGAGGAGGAGGAGGAGGAGGAGGAGGAGGAGAGCCCCGCCGCCCTCCCTGCACCGCTGCGCCGGCCCCGCGCGGCAGCGAGGCGGGGAGGCGGCGGAAAGGCGGTGCCCTCCGCGCTCCAGCGAGGCGCCCCGTTCCGCGGAGGTGCCCGCCGCGCCCCGTCGGGGAGGGGGGGCCCGCCCCGAGGCCTCTCGAGGCCGCGGCTGGAGTCCTCGGCGGCGCGCCCGGCGGGGGAGGCAGAGGGGGGCCGGCCTCAGAGGAAGGCTCAAGGAAGGCCTCCGGCCTCGCAGGAAGCTGTCGAAGCCTTCTCCACAGCCCCGCTGCCTTCCGACCGCCGCTTCTCGAGCAGGTCTGACCTCTCCGAGCGCCGCGGACAATGCCCCCCTCGGCGCGCCGCCGAGATCAGCGGTCCGCCGCGACACCGCCTGGGTCCGGAGCGTCCTCGCCCCCCACGGCCTTCAATGCGCACCAGAACAGGCTCCTGCCAGGCAGCTGCCACAACGACAGCAAAGATCGAAAGACAACAAAATAAGGGCCTTCGGTGGAGCTCCCTATGGGGCCACGAAAACGTGTGAGGGGTGTGTGCCAAAGTGAGTGCGGTGGCGCCATGCGAACCCTGCCAATGGGGCCTTCGGAGGAGCTCCCTAAAGGGCCACGGAACGTGTGAGGGGTGTGCCGGAATTGGTGCAGTGGCGGCATGCGAACCCTGCCACTGGGCCCTTCGGTGGAGCTCCCTATGGGGCCACGAAACGTGTGAGGGGTGCACCGACATGGGCGCGGTGGTGCCATGCGAACCGTGCCAATGGGGCCTTCGGTGGAGCTCCCTGTGGGGCCACGAAACGTACGAGGAGTGCACCGACATGGGTCATGCGAACCCTGCCACTGGGGCCTTCGATGGAGCTCCCTATGGGGCCACGAAACGTGTGAGGGGTGTGCCGAAATGGGTGCGGTGGCCCCATGCGAATCGTGCCACTGGGGCCTTCGGTGGAGCTCCCTGTGGCGCCACGAAACGTGTGAGCGGTGTACCGAAATGGGCGCGGTGGTGGCATGCGAACCCTGCCACTGGGGCCTTCGGTGGGGCCCCCTATGGCGCCACGAAACGTGTGAGCGGTGTACCGAAATGGGCGCGGTGGCGCCACTGCTGCCAATGGGGCCTTCGGCGGGGCCCCCTATGGCGCCACGAAACGTGTGAGAGGTGTGCCGAAATGGGTGCGGTGGCGCCATGCGAACCCTGCCACTGGGGCCTTCGGTGGGGCTCCCTATGGGGCCACGAAACGTGTGAGGGGTGCGCCGAATCAGAGACATGCGGAGGGCAGAAGCAAGGGACGGGAGGAGGGAGGAGGGGGAGGAGCGCGGAGTCGTTGAGGTGAGGTGAGGAACGCGGGGCGCTCTCTCTCTCTCTCTCTCGCTCTCTCTCTCTCTCACAGTCTAAGCATGAATCCCACAAAGCACACGTGGCAGGAGAGCGGGAGAGCGGGCTACCCGCCCGGCGCCGCCGCCGCGCCAGCCTGGCCCGCGGCCCGGACCCCTCAGAACGAGGACCCGACACCACAGGATGGTTGGGAAAAAGCGGGGGTGCAAGCGCGGAACCCGCGGAGGCCCCCTGCTGGGCGCGGGAGGCCAGCGCCCTGGCCCTGCCGAGGGCCGGGCGCCAGAGGGGCGTGCGGCCACGTGCGCGTGCAGCTCGCGCCCAGGCTCCCCCCCGGGCTGGCCACATCGAGCGAGCGACGGTCCAAAGCGGGGCGTCGCGAGGGCACACCGCGACCTTGCGCGGTGGCGTGCGCGGGACGCCCGCGCGGCACGCCACGCTGGGAGCGAGGGCGCCCACGCGCCACTTTACGCGGGCAGCTGTCGCGCCAAAGTGGGCGCAGACGACCCCTGTTCTTTGCGTCGCTCAAGTGTAATCAGCTTCCTGGTGGCATGCGGTCTCGACCCCTGCGGGTCTTGGAATCTGCAGAAATCTTCCTGGCGGCATGCGGTCTCGACCCCTGCGGGTCTCGGAATCTGCGGGATGCCTGCGGCAAAAGGAGCCCCGGGGTGGGTGTCGGACGACGAAGCGTCGTCGTTGGGACCCGCGGGGGAAGGGCTCGCATGCGGCTGAGGAGCAAGAGGGGCGCGCACCAAAGCTCCCTGCTCCCGGGGCGGGGCATCCACCAGCACGACGTGGCTGAGCTCGACAGGCGTCTCGAGCCGAGGCGCGCGAGGGTGCATCGACGTGCTCGGGAGCAGACCTCGGCGGGGGCGAGGGGGGGAGAAATGAGAAGGAGAAAGGCGGCGGGACTTCTCAGAAGCCCTCGGGCCTCCCGCGAGAAGCTGCCTGCGTCTTCGGGGAAGGCTTCGAACACTTCTCAGAAGGCCCGGGGGACTCCCGAGCCTTCTGAGAAGTTCCGCCACTTCTCGCTTCCCCCCCCCCCCCCGCGCTCGCCGCCGAAGGTGGGGAAACCAAAAGGCACCGATACCGCTACTCCCCGGACCTCTCCCGGGGTGCGCTCTGACCAGAATTTCGAGGCGAACCTGGCGGTGGCGACGAGGGCCTCCCAGGAGACCCCAGAGCGGGGAAGACGGGGCAAGGGTGGAGGTCTGGGTGCCTGCCTGCTCCTCTGAGAAGAGGGAGAAAGGGAGGAGGCGGCGCACGTCCGCGCCGTCCCTCCGAGCGTCCGAGCAAGCAGGCCGCGCGGCGGCCGCACGCCTCCCGCAGCGGCTGCTGCCGCCGCCGGCGTGCGGGGGGGCAGGACGAGGGGAGGATTTGAGTCGGGCATGTCCCTCTGCAGAGGGAAGACAGATTAAGCTAGTCCAAGCATAAAACGGGGACGATCGTTCGACTACGCTGCTGACTGTGCTTTGCGTTTCGTCCAAAAGCCGCCTGCAGGAGGACATGCCCGACCTAAGGGAAGGCGCGCGGGCGCCACGCTGCGAGGACGCCGCGCGGCGCCGCGCGCGCCTCGCCGCGCCGCCGCGTGGCGCACGGCCGTTTGAGCTTCACCAGCGGCGAGCGGGGGGGGGGGCAGCGATGAAGGGGCCGGGCCTGCTCAGAAGGCTCGGGGGTCTCCCGGGCCTTCCGAGAAGTGCTCGAGGCCTTCCCCGAAGGCGCAGGCAGCTTCTCGGGAGGCCCGAGGGTTTCTGGGAAGTCCCGCCGCCTCCTGAGGAGGCCTCCTCCTTCTCATGTCCCCCCCCCCTCGCCCGCCGCCGAGGAGAGATCGGGTCGTACGCCCGATGACGCGGCGGCAGGCGCTACATGACGAATGAATTCAGACGGGCGCATCGTCGACAGGCGGGCCGGCCGCGCACCTCAGAGGGGGGCGAAGATGATCAGGCAGACCAGCACGACGAGCAGGGCGCAGTCGGCCACCAGCCGGTTGTCCCGGTAGAGGCGCACGGTGTCCTTTTGAAGGGGCCGAAGACGCACTAAGACATGGACACGGGCCCCCCGCATCCCCAAGTCCCTCACGTGTTCCATACTTTTTCTGGCTGCTCGTCTTCCCCTCCGCCTCCCCCATCCCCGTATCTTCTGGAGGAACAAGAAACGGCATGACCATAAACTGTTGGCGCTCCGCGCGGATTTCTTGGATCTGACCTGGACCCCCCTCCGTGTCGCGTTCCGCGCGCCAGGGGCGGCGCCAGGGGGGGCCCAGCGCAGATCCAACAAACCCGCGCGGAGCGCCAGAAGTTTATACTTATGGCGTCCTTCGACACACACCCATATTTTCCGAGGAACCGACTGATTAACCAAGAAAGGACCCCTTAACCCTTTAGGAGGGGACTTAAAGTTAGGAGGGCCAAAAACATTAGGGATTGGGTGTTTGTCCTGCAGGTGTATCAGACCAAACCGCCCAGAATGAGAATCTCTAATGCCAAGACGGGGGCCTCAGTGAGGCCACGTCTTCACGATGCTATTAGGGTTTGGGGCTATCTTGTTCTCGATGATCGACGATGACCTGTGTCGGTGTGCCTTCTTCCTTTTTCGGCTGGTCCCCCCCCCTCGGCGTCCGCCCCGCCGCAGCCAGGACTTGCCTGAGCGGACCATGCTTCCTCTCTTCCCGTTGCGCAGGGGTCTCCTCCTCTCCCCCCGCGCAACTGCGGCCCAATTTGCATCGAGCGCGCCCCACTGATGCCCGATCGCCGGAGCAGTGAACTCTCTGTCCAACCGCCGACGCAAAAAATGTCTGTGCGCCTTTGGAGGTCTAAACATGGGCACCAACACCAACACAGGGGGTTGTCTCCACATGGGGAAGATGATCCTAGATTTCGGTGTTGGTGGCAATATTCCGGTCACCTTGGAAGCCAGAATACAGTCGGACTTGATTAGAGAGGGCTCGCGAGAGGACACAAGACCCTTCCGAGGGCCACAGCGCCACAGGAATGCAGGAGGCATGGGCCGCGAGACACAGGACACAAGGGCACCCTTGATTTGGCAGGGTCGACCTACTAATCCGGGCCGAGTGCCTTACCACCATCACCGAGATCGGGATCTTCTTCCCTCGGTGGATGCACACCGCCGATATTGGTGTTGGTGTCAACCTCTAGGCCTGCGACGCCTTCTGCCCCTCCCGAGTCCTGCAGGGCCCTGCTCTCGAGCGCGGGGGCCCACCAGTCGGCCTCGGGCCCCTCGCCGCTGGGGGCCCGGCCGCGCCCCCCGCGGTCCGGCCGCGCAAGCTCCCCGGGGAGGGGCGCGGCGAGCTCCGGCAGCTCGAGCTCCTCGCGCCGCGGGAGCACGGTCGGGAGCTGATGGGTCGATGTTCCACCACCACTGCCACGGGTAGGAAAAGGAGGAGGAGGAGGAGGAGGAGGAGGAGGAGGAGGAGGAGGAGAGGGAGGAGGAGGAGAAGGGAGGAGGAGGAAGGAGGAGGAGGAGGAGGAGGAGGAGGAGGAGGAGGAGGAGGAGGAGGAGAGGGGAGGAGGAGGAGAGAGGAGGAGGGGGAGGGGGGGGGAGGAGGAGGAGGAGGAGGAGGAGGAGGAGGAGGAGAAGGAGGAGGAGGAGGAGGAGGAGGAGGAGAAGGAGGAGGAGGAGGAGAAGAGGAGGAGGAGGAGGAGGAGGAGGAGGAGGAGGAGGAGGAGAGGGAGGAGGAGGAGAAGGAGGAGGGAGGGAGGAGGAGGAGGAGGAGGAGGAGGAGGAGGAGGAGGAGGAGGAGGAGGAGGAGGAGGAGGAGGAGGAGGAGGAGGAGGAGAGGAGGAGGAGGAGGAGGAGGAGGAGGAGGAGGAGGAGGAGGAGGAGGAGGAGGAGTGAGAGTTTGAGCGTGCGTAAAACGTAGGGTTTCAGGGAGTAAGTGCCTGGTGAGGGGGAAGGGTCTCTCTTGCCTTCTGTCCCTTTCCCCCTCTCCGCGGCCCCTCTGGGGCTCAAGTTCCTTCTCGAGCCCTTGAGGGGGCGACTCGCGCGGGGGAGCGCGACCCGCCCCGCGGACCAGGGTCCGCACAGGGGCCGAGAGCCATGTGGAGGTGAGGCGCGAGGAGTGGCGCTGCGCCAGCCCAGTGCACACGAGGCGCTGGCAGTCGGAGGCAGCGCAGCAGCTCCCACATGATGGCGTTGCTGCCCATGCTCATCGGGGCCGTGGCAGCTGTCGAGATCGGCCGCAGGTGGCGGGCGCAGCCGGCGACGCCGGCCTTGCCCCCCGCGGCCCGCACCGCGGACAGGTCGCTGCCCGCGGAGGCCGAGCTGGCCAACGGAGGGGCGTACGCGCCTCTGCTGCGGGCGCTGGAGGAGGACCAGCGGCGCCGTGGCACGGCGGCGGCAACTGAGTTGCCGCAGCGCCAGCCCCCCCCCCAGCTGGGCCCGCACCCGCTGCCGGGAAGGGGAGAGGAGGGCCCACGGGGCCAGCGGCAGTCCCGCCCTCGGGAGGCAAGGGGCGCCAGCAGCCGTCGATGGCGTCGGCATCGGCCCAGCCACCCGTGGAGGCACCGCCATCAGCCGCCGGCGACGGAGGTGAGGAGGGCTCACGGCGCCGCGGGAGCGGGATGTGGAGCTGGTTCGCGGGTCGTCGGCGGGACCCCCCGCTGCGGCGCAGTCCTGAGAGCGCTGGCGGCTCGGAGGAGGCGGAGGAGGAGATGCGAGGCTGGTTCAGCTTCGGGGGAGTCAAGTTCGGAGTAAGCTGGCTCGGAGGTTGGATTACTGACCTGCCGCCGACGGAGATACAGTGGTCGGATCTGATGTGGGGCGGAGGTGGCCTCGTTGGGAGCGGCCTCAACACGGTGGGTTACGCGGCGTTCGGCACGGGTTGGCCCTTGCTGTGCTGGACCACCTTCGCAGGGTTGATCGTGGCGCTTGTCATCGGCTTGGGGTATGGTCTTCACTCCATCGCCTCGGCAGTCGACGTGCTGGTCTGCACACCCCTCCGCTGCCTGGGTCGGGCGCTGGGATTGTGCTGCCCGACAGCGAAGCCACAGGTCACGGCCGCCGAGGAAGGAGTGGTCCCAGAGCTGAGAGGACCAGCCACCGCCATTGCCGTGGAGAACGAGTTCTACGCCCAGCTCCGCGCAAAAGGGGCCGACAAGGTGCCGCATCACCTGATCATCAAGGTGGGCGACACCGCCGCGAGGCTGGAGAGGCCACCTTTGAATACTGGGATTAAGTATAAGAAGGCAGGAGTGGCATGGCCGCACCGCGAAGTGCTTGCTACCACGTCAAGGCGACTGCGCGACCTGCTGGAGGATTCCCAGGACAAGGTGGTGCACCTGTGCAGAGACACGCCCTGCACGGACGAAGGTAACTACGCGGTGCATGCCCCGGCGTACGGGCACGTGACAGCTGAGACGGACACCAACTTGGAGGCGCTGGTGGAGGCGGCGCCGAAGCCTTGTTGGGCCGGCCGGGCAGTGGGGGCAGCGGCTGCATCGTGTGGGCGGGGCTGTGCCGCTTTGGGGCTGAAGGGGTGTGCCAGGCTCTGCGGGCCCCTCAAGCGCTGCGGCCAGAGGGGTTGCCAGCGCGGCCGGCGAAGCAGAGCAGACATCCCCGCCGCCCTGTTGAAAGACCCGAACTCGGAGACGGAGTCGGAGCCGGGGCACCAGCGCTGCATGGCCAACGAGGTGCTGTACCAGGAGGGTGACACGATATTCCAGCTGTGCAAGGAGAAGTGTCGAGACCGAGCCCGAGGTGCCCCAGTCCGCCTGGTCAAGGAGGATGGCGAGAAGTCGAATGTCAAGGGGGCGGAGAAGGTGGTCAACCTGTGCTGGCAGCACACGAACGCCTACGAGCGCGAGAGAGGAGTGAAGAAGTGTGCGCACCTCGGCTGCCATGCGTTGGGTCGAGTTCTGAACCGTGGGGTGCTGACGTGATTGGAGCACGACTTGGCGAATGAGGAGACCGCACGACTTGTCGCCGTCGCCGAGGGACCGGCGCCTGTGGTGGCCGGAATGGCATCCGAGCAGCCCACGCGGTACAGGTCGAGGTCGCCTACGCCGACGGCTGGGAGACCACTCCTACCCTTGGTGTCGGCCAGTGGGGCATGGCTAACGGCCCTGGTGCGAGGCCCACGGGGTACGGAGATGGCGAAGAAGTACTATTGCTACGGGTGCCAGCTGGCGGTCGAGGAGGAGGGCTGGACTACGTATCGTACCCCAGGGCTCGAGGCCCAGGCGACTGTCCCATCCAACCTGGGGCCGGTGATCGACGACCGGGTGCGTGCCGAGGCTGCCACCGCTGGAGCGCCCGCCATCATCGTGCGGACGGCGAACCAGATACCCGACGGAATGGACGAGTACGGCCAGACAGCTAGCCCGGTGGCTCAGGCGCTGGCGCGGGGCGCGACGGGGAGGGAGGACGATCCCCCGTGCATTCTGACGCGGGGGATCGAGGAGGCAGGAGGGCGAGACGAAGGACACGCTCGGAGGCACCCGCCCCCGATTTCCCCGACGTACCCAACGCAGCCACCGTGGGTGGACACGATAACTCGAGGAGAGCTGGGGGGCCTACTGAATGGGGCGGCCCGGGAGCGCTGGCGTCGACGAGGGGAGGCGGCCTTGGCGCTGGAGCTCCTGAAGGCAAGGGCCAGCGGAGAGGATCACCCGCTGGACGTGGCCGAGAGATATCAGCACTCCGAGGGTTTCGATGATCTGGGAGAGGCGTGCGACGCGATCGTTGAGTCGCTCGAAGCCTTGGAGAGGGACCGTGGCTCCTTCATGACGGACGACGAGGTGGAGAACCTGCGGCAGCTAGCTGAGGTGCTGAGAGAGAGGCGCGGCCTGAGCCAGGCACATGAGGAGGAGGTGGCGGGAGGAGCATGGCGGGAGGGGCTGGCACGGCCGGCCCCTGGCCCTGCGCGGCCGCCCACGCCTCCCATGGCCCGCCCATCGGCGGTGGAGATGCCACCCGGCTTGGGAAGGATGCCCGAGCCAGGCCGGCCAGCCAGGGAGGAGAAGGGGTCAGCTCGAGGTTGGGAGCCCAAGCGGCGGGCAACCGACTTGGGCGGTCAAGGAGTCGACTTGCGGGGCAGCACAGTGCGGGCCGAGCTGGGCCGAGGCCCACCGACGGGTCGACCAGGACATGACCCCACACCACCCCCCATGGACCTGTTCGAACATCGGGCTGGCCCGACCTTTGGGGCCCCGGCGAGGAGAGCGCGAGTGAGTTTCGACGAAGAAGAGTATGGCCCGTCGGAAAAGGTTCGGAGGTCAGCGGGAGCACTCGGCGACCCCGAGGACAAGGGCAGCGAAGGAATGGTTAAGGTCATGGCGGACATCGCGTACAACCTCGACCTAACGAACAAGCGGGCGGAAGACGCAGCGGCGGGGAAGATGGGCACCCTCCAGTCGATCACGAAGGACCACGAGCTGCTTGTCCTGGCGGCGCGTGGATGCGGGCGGTTCCGGGTGGCCATCTGCCCGGACGACTTGGGCCGGGCGCTCGTCAAGGCACTCCTGCGCATGGCGGAGCATTCCTCGGCGTTGTTCAAGCACCACCGCTGGCCCACCCTGATCAACTACCGGATCGCCTTCGGCATCGCGTCGGGGTCATGGGGAGGCAAGTCGGTCGAGACGCTGGCCGCTCACGCGCTCAGTGTGGCCGACTGGGTGACTTGCCCAGAGGAGTTGTTCGATGACTACGTACCCACGACAGAGTACAAGATCGAGCCGCGTCCGAAGCAGCCTGTGGATATGCTGAAGTGGGCACGGCAGGCTCGCAACGGCATATGGGCGGTATGTTTGGCGTATGGGGCCGAGCACTGGGACGAGAGGAGCGAGGCTTTGGACTACCTCATCCGGCAGCACGAGGCGAAGCCGCGGAAGTACACCGCCCGTTTCATCCAGGATGCCTGGGAGGAGCTGAACGGGCGGTGGTGGGAGGAGCTTCGGTGAAAGGTGAAGGAGGTGCAGCGCTACTGCAACAAGGAGCTCATGAGGAAGGAGGACTTTATCTTCGCCGCTCGGACGCCGACGCCAGAAGGACCACCGCTGCTGACACTGCCTACGACGTTCGAGGTGGAGGACCCGGACGGGTACTTCAAGACGGTTATCTTCGAGCGCCTGGTCAAGACCGCGGACAACGCCTACTGGGAGAACGCTCACCGTGCCCAGCTGCGTCCACTTGCAGCAGGAGGAGTGGAGGAGGTCGAGGAGCGCCGCCCAGCAGGAGGTCTGCCCCAGCTCCCTTCAGGTGGCGGGGGCGGAGAGAAGGTTGGCGGTCTGACAGGAGGCGGAGGAGGAGGAGCAGGAGGAGGTGCCCTGAAGGCTGGAGCGAGCAAGGTCAAACTCCCGCCGGAAGTCCT